CTGTCTCAGAGTGGGTGCTCAGGAAAATATTTATTGAATGAATCCATGAAATACAAGACAGAAGAGATGTGTGGAAGGGTGAACAGGTGAGTAAATGCAAGGTATTCTTTCAATGTCAATAATTTGTTGTTTATGTTAAAGATGATATCTCTTTAAAGACCATGTGAGTTTTCTACCCGCTCCCTACCCCCAGCGCTGTTTCCCCAGCATCACGCTCGCTCTGAGCTCCTGCTAAGCCAGCGCCCCTGACCCAGGCTCCTTCCAGCTGCCATCATAATCATCTACCCGGCCTTCATCAGCCATGATGAGATGTACTCCCACATCTACAAGATCCAGGAGATCACCATCCGGCTGTGCCTAGAGGTGGAGGGGAAGATGGTCAGTAGGACAGAGGGGAACATTGACAACTTGCTCTGCGAAAATACCTCCTCTGAAGACCCTGAGGGCTCAATACCCAAAGCACAATAATCACTTGTGTTGATATTGTCATGAACCACAGTTTGCAAGAAACCAGCTTCACAAAAGAAGCCTACAAGAAGCACACCAAAGATTATATGAAATCAATCAAAGGGGAACTTGAAGAACAGAGACCAAAAATGAGTAAAACCTTTTTGGACAGGGGATGCAGAACAAATCAAACACATCCTTGCTGATTTCAAAAACTACCAGCTCTTTATTGGGGAAAACATGAATCCAGATGGCACGCTTGCTCTGCTGGACTACCGTGAGGATAGTGTGACCCCATATGTGATTTGCTTTAAGGATGTCTTAGAGATAAAAAAAAAAAATGTTAACAGAGTTGGTGGTTTGGGTCCACTACTTGTCATCATAACTGGATACTGCTTTGCACCCACACACCAAGACTAGGACAAACAGGACTGATGTTATCTTGAGCTCATCATTTATTTTGACCTTGATTTATTCGGAGCTGAGGAACTGTTTTTAAGAAGAACATTCATGTAGATTGTCTAAAAATAAAATGCATTTAAACTAAAAAAAAAAATTAATAAAATAAAGACCATGTAAAATTACAGGAGAGGCTGAAATGGGAGGAAAGTCAGAAACACAGCTGGAGCCATTAGTCCATTCTTCGGGGGCCTGGGAGACATCTGTTCCCTGGATGAAACTCTGTCCCGAAAGCCCCCCTACCACCCCTCTCAGGGACCCGAGACCCACCTTGATAGCCCTGGGAGGAACTGATCCAGCAGTGGGGACGAGACTCACTAGGGGGCACTCTTTTATCACACGGGCCCTGCCCCAGCAGCCACAAAAACCTGTTGCCCTGGGCTCTTCTCTACAAGAAACCCTGCAAACCAAGGGCCTCCCCCCTTCACATTCTCCACAGCTTCTTGCTAAGAGGAGAGGGTCTTTCAAGCAACAATGGCACATCCACCAAATCAGTACTCACTCAGTATAAGGAAGCTACGTATAAAAGGTAGGTGTCTGTGGTCACATTGATATTGCAAACCAATCTTCCCTTTCTTACTACATCAAATGTGCCAGTTCTTAGTCCCCATCCCCACCCCCTTCCCCAGCCTGATGGCTGCCCAGATAAGAATAAATTGAAGGGTACACTCCTGCAGTTTATTAATTGATTCACCAATATTCACCAGACACATCTTCCATGAAGGACTGGAGACGGTGGAAGTTCTGGGCAGTTATGGACCCCAGAACAGTGGGAGGAAGTGGGAGCAGTATTCAGAGCTCCCTCCCAGTGTGGGACCTCACTGCCTCCAGGAATCATCCCACCCCTGAGGCTGTAAGAACATCAGAAGTCAAGGGCACAAAGGAAGGACAAGGGTTCAAGGGGTATGTGCAGTTTGGAAAGTCAAGGTTCCTTCATTTTTTCAGGGCAGCACCCTCTTACCTCAACCATTGTGGGATCTAATTTCAAAAATGCTTCAGCTCTGGAGGAATTAACACCCCAAAGACACAGACCCTGTGAGGCAACCTGTGCCTCATGGACATTCTGGGCTTAATGCCTGGAATGGAAGGGAGGGTGGTATGGTGGAAGGAAAGGATTTGGGGGGAAAGCCTGGGAAGGGGCAAGCACAGAAAAGGGGGTGAAGAATGGACCCCAGAGGCTTGCAAAAGGACAAAGAGAAGACACCACTCAGCTTGGCTCTTGAAACTGGAGCATTGGAACTTCCATCCCAATGTCTAGGCCCTTCCTGAAAATTTGCTACCTGTTCCAGATTCTGGTGGGCTTCCTGTTCTCCATAACCTGGTAAAGGAAGTGTCCAGGGGAGGCTGGGAGAATTTCACAACTAGCAGTCTTTCTTTGCTATTGCCATCAGAGCCCTGGAGCACCAATCATCTGGGAAATAAGGAGACCATTCCCTTCCTAGCTCGGTAGGAGGGAGCTACAAGGGTCAAGCTCAGAACTTGCCTTCATGTTCCTGTTGGGTGCAGTGGGATACAGCTGCAGGGCTCGGCCTGAGCCCAGGTCCCGGCTAAGGGGGGATGAGGGTGTGGGTGCCAGGATCCCTTGCTAAGCCCTGTAATACATCTATGATGCAGCCACACCACTGGGAGCTGTACTTTCCAGAGCAAAGACATCAAGTCTGGATTACTCTGAGAATTGGGTCACCGCTGCATTTTTCCTGAGGATTCTAGACCCAGCCAGCCACACTGTCATCTGGGAAGAATCATTACCTGCAGGGGGAATGGGCAAGGTGGATGGAGAGGGACAAAGCTGGGAGAAAGAAAGCACTGGCTCACTAGGCAAGCCCTCTTTCCCTGCTTTAAGTGAAGATGGTGGATGTGCTAGCAGGCTGCCCAGCCCAGGGCCCATCTGTGCACACCTGCCTTCAGCACACCTGACCCTCTCACCCGACTACCCTGCAGAGCCAGGTGTGGCTGCCAGTTCAGGCAGGCTCCACTGAGGCCTCTGGCCCTGCCCTCCATCCTTCTTACAGAGAAGAGGAAAAAGAAGAAAAGTGTGTGTAAATTTCCCATTCAGGTCTCGGGATCCCTCTCCCCCTTCTGTTGCTCTGGGACACAGAGGTGAGTAGTCATGAGGGCCCGTTTATGTCTGCAGCAGACTTGCCAATTGCAAGATGTATCATCCTTGACTCTAGCTGCCTTGGGCCTGCCCCTTTCTGCAACCATCTCAAGAATATTTGTCAAACATTTTGTCAGGTGTCCCCCGAATGCCCCAAAGACAGAACTGACCATATGACCTTTTCCCTGATTTTGCAACTCGGGAGTGCACATACCTGCACCACTCTCACACCTCCAATAAGTGTTTCCAAGAAGAATGCTGTCCACAGAGTAAGGCCACCTGGGGACCTCTTCTCTCTTCGTTTTCATTTCTCGGATTCCTACCTAGTGTATCTAGCTGACACAGTGGCATATTGATCATAGTTTCTCTTTGTGAAATGGTCCTTGGATGACCAAACATCCCTTGGCTTGGCAGAGATGACTTATTTTCTCATTTGTCTCAGAGCTGATCACTATTTCAAATGCAATATTTGGTTTCCAAGTAAATTACACACATATACACAAATTTGGGGGGAGGGGCTTTATTAAAAATTAACAGTGTCTCCAGATAGTAAATAGCTCTTTGAACTTACAAAGCTTTCTTGTCCCTGGTCCCCTCCAGTGGATTCGGGAATTGCAAACGCCATGGTGAGGGAAGGAGATGATCAGCTCGAGGGTGGAAGTCAGCACTGACTCTCTCCTTGGACAGCAGCCTGATTCTATCCTCCACCCCCACCCCACCACCACCACCAACAACAACCACACACACGGGGAGGTGTTGGAGGCCCAGTGTGGCTAGGGCTCAGGAATGGTACACAGAGCTGGGGGGGTTGGAGGCTGGCAGGTGGGGAGGCTGTGTCAGAGCAGGCTTCCTGAAGAAACGGTTTCCATCAGCACAGATGGACCAGCCTAGTGGGAAGGTCAGAGAGGAAGGGTCCTAAAGGCAGAGGACAGTATCCCAGAAGAGAAGCAACAGAAGTGGACATAAAGGAAGGCCCCTGTCTGGCAGGGGTGGAGGAGAAAATGAAGAGACTGGAACAGAGAAAGGGCAGATGGAGAGAGGTGGGCTCCCAGAGCCTAACCCTGTCCCGCTGGGAGCCTGGATTCTGGTGGCCACGAAAGGATTTTGAGAACGAGAAACTGCAGCCCAGTGGTTACCTGGCTTCATCACTTACTGTGTGACCCTGGGCAAGCTAATTAACCTCTCTGAGCCTTGGTGTCCTCATTTATAACGCAGGGACGGTAACAATACTCCCGGGAGGATGACTGGAAAGGCTGAAGGAGATGACGCGGTGAAAAGCGGGCGGTGGCACACCGTGCGATCTGCGAAAGGGGGTGCTGATTACTACCTTCTGTTAGAGTTGGACAGAGCGCCTGGCGGCGGATGATTCAGTCAGTTAGGTGGGTCAAATTCACCAGAACATTTTCCAATCCAATCACACTTCCTGTGGAGACAGATTCTTAAATGGCTGGAGAAGGTGTTTGTAAACACTAAAAGTGCAATTCAAAGGTCGCCGCTGGCAGCGAAAGCAGTGGGGCTTAGAGAAGAGGCTCCGTTCAGGAAGCACAGTTATCTCTTCGAGGGGGGCACGTCCCAAACTAAGCAGATAGGGACAATTTTGCAGTCCTCCCTCCCCCTGTACACACACACACACACACACACACACACAGCCCCCACCCTCACTCCCAGCCCTCTCCTGCAGCGACACCCAGAATCCCTCGGGGACAACAGAAGAAGTACATCCCTGGCTGTCGTACCGCCCAAGGGTTGAAGGGGTGAGAGGAAGGCGGGGACGGGGCTGGGGACGATCATGGTCTGAGTTGGATTAATTTGTCCCCGGTAGCTCTGAAAGCAAATCGTGGCGGGAGTGGGGTAGGCGGGGAGCTGGGCGGGGAGCAGAGTGGGGAGGGGCCCAGCGCGTCCTGGAGGGCCCTGGGCGGCGGAGGAACGGAGCTCGGGGGCTGGCCCGGCTCCCGGCCCGCAGCGCCGCCTCCCCGAGGAAGGCGGGGGCCAGGAGGAGGGAGCGGGAGGAGGCGTAGGACTGAAGAGGGCGGTGCGCTGAGAGGTTATTTGTGGTTCGCTTTGATCCCGAGGGGGAACCTGAAACTCTCACATTCCTGGCATAGCAGCCGCCTCCGGCGCGGGCCGACCCTGGGGCTGCGCGCTGGGGCCCGAGCGGCCAGAGCGTCGGCGCCACTGCTGAGTACACACCTCCGCTGCTGAGCCGAGCCGAGCCTGGCCGGGTTGTCCGGTCTGACCGAGCCGAGCACCCGCGGGCCGCAGCGGTAAGGAAGGCTGCTTGGCGCTCGGGGAACGCGCGGGGCTGGCAGAGGTGCGCCGAAGCTGCAGCTCCGGCGCAGCCGGGTCTTTTCCCGGAGCCGGAGCCTGGTGGACCCAGCGTCCTCAGGGAGCAGTGCACCCTTCCCAGGCAGCTGCAAAGGCGGGCAAGGGCCACTCCGCCCGGGGTGCGCCGCGCCGCGTGCCCGGCCTGGGGGCCACCCCCCAAAACCCTTCACGGGCTTTGAAGGAGAGCGGGTCCCCTGGGGATCAGGGAGGGGGCAGTCGCTAGAGAGAGTCCGATTCGTATTTTGATCGCAAGGTGGGGAGAGGAGCGCGGAAAAGCGCAGGAGGTGCCGCTTCGAATTCGAGTCATAGTGCCCGGGGGGATGATCTGGTTAGGTGGGGGTTACAGGTGTCTTTGCTCCCAACTAGCCCAAGAATTCCTCTTTGTCTTCCTTGGAAAATCCTCTCTGGAGCCACGAACTGGCTGGCTCTCACTTAGAAAGAATGCAGCCTGCCGTCCAGCCCGGTGACGTCAGCGCTGGAGCATTCGGAAAACAAAGAGGGCTGGCGAGGGAGAGAGGGAGGTGGACCCGCGACACTTAAAGACCTCCTTGGGTCACCGGCTACCGTGGTCCGCTCGCTCTAGGCGCATCAGCGGCCCCCGAGTCCTCGAGGTCGGCGGGGAGTCCGGGTAGGGCGGGATCCCTGGCTGCGGCGTGATCGGACTTAGAGAGAGACCCTCACTCCGGTGTTGAGGCGAGTGAGCCCAAGCAAAAGCCAGAGACGCGTGCTTGCTTAGGAAGGTGGTGGTTCAGAGAGCCCAGCGCGCTAGCCCAGCCGAGGTGCACCGCAGGGGTGGTGGTGGTGGTGGGAATGCAGATTTTAGTAGCAGCTCAGCGGAAAGGATGTGCCTCGGGGGGTCTTAACCGCGACACAGTCGGGGTGAGAGGCCCCGGAGGAGGTGTTCCCTGATGCCAGGCACACTGTTGGGGGAAGGAGGCCAGGAATGTTTCGGGAAAGCTGCAGTCCCCGGTCTTCCACCGCGGGACTTAGCCCTACAGTGATGAACTTAGAAAATGCCCCGCGGATGAAACTCTAGGGCAAATTGATTCCTGTTTATGTTGCCTCTGGTAGCTCTGGTGTCATGCATCCCCACTCCTCGCGTGTGTAGGGGGAGGGGGCGGCATGACTGAGTGACAGGAAGGATGGGGACAGAGAAGCCCTTCAGATTCATCTCCCACTCCTCAGCTCTGAGCACCTAGGAGGAGGGAGTGGATGGGGAATGGCTGCCTTGTCAATCGGCCAAATCCCAGCTGCAGCAGCGCACTGGGGCTAGCTTTGTGACAGAGGAGGGGCCAGATTCCTCCCACGCCCCTCCCCCCATATACACGGGACCTGTGGAGGTGTGGGTTTTCTTTGGCTTTCCCTGGATTTCAGCTTGGAGGTTTGTGTTGGAAGCGGCTGTGGAAAAGAAGCCTGGTGAGGCAGGCAGCCTTCCAGGCATGAGCCACTGGGAGCCCGAGGTCGGAAGGAAACACCTTCCTCAGGAGATGTTATCTCCCTGCATTCACAGCCCCCAGATCCCTGCAACCTAGAGCCCCTCCCCGTTTGCTCCCTTACGCCTCCATTTGGCTCAAGTGGCTGTTACTGATGTCAAGGTGCTTAGTGCTCCTCTGCTTTGTGTGGAGAGGACCATAGGGGAGTTTCTCAAGCAGTGTGTGTGTGTATGTGTGTGTGTGTGTGTGTGAGGGGGGTAATTGTAAACTCAAAGACACCATCCGTTCTTTCTTCCTTTTTCCTGGAGTGTCCGTGCAGATACTGCCAACACAGACTATATGACTGACCCACACGCCTTGATGGGTCACCTTTTTGCCTCATCTCACAAAACCATTGTCCTATTGTAGCTTCTCTTCTTTCATCCCTTATTCACCAATTCAGATGCATTTTCTCCTTCTTTCCATTCACCTTGCAGAGTAACTGCCAAGGTCATCCCATGACAGGGAGGGCTTGGCAGGGTCAAGGGTGGTGAATGAGCGATGCCAATGCTGGGGCTCAGACATGCTTCATTCTAGAGGGTGCTGGGGCTGTTTGCCTAGGTCTTCTACTGGGCTGAATGTATTCTTTATCACCTGCCAATAAACGGGCCCTGTCCATCCCTGGATGGGACTGCTCTGTGGTTAGATTTGAACTAGGCTTGCCCTGGAGTTTTTCATCAGGCTTTTCGATGGGTGACTGACTGCAGGAGGCTGTGGTTCCTTGTTGATTACCTTCTAGGTACTGGTGTCTTTCTCTAGGCATAGTAAGTCTCTATGCATATGATTATAGTGGCAATCCTTTGTCAAGGATTTGTAGTGCACCAGGATCTCAACAGCCACTGCTGCTTTTAATTTCAACTCCATGAGGCAAGCATTCTTTTTGCTTTTCTGATGAAGAAACTGAGACTCAGAGGTTACCTAACTTGCCTTGATCAATAGGGGGCAGCACTGGTAGTTGGGCTCGGGCTTCTGTGGCACTCTAAGCCTTCCACTTTCCCGTTATGCTTTGGACCAGACTGTAATGGAAAGTTCCCCCCTTTTCCATGTGCTCCCACTGATTGCTCTTTTTTCTTTTTCCTCCCAGGTGCCCTGGGGCCACGTGCCTCTGGCCTTTGTCCAGACGGGTGTGTGCAAGCCAAGAAAGCATGAGGACGCTGGAAGACTCCTCTGGGACAGTGCTACACCGCCTCATCCAGGAGCAGCTACGCTATGGCAACTTGACTGAGACACGCACCCTACTGGCCATCCAACAGCAGGCCCTGCGGGGTGGGGCTGGAGCTGGGAGCACAGGGAGCCCCCAGGCCTCCCTGGAGATCTTGCCACCGGAAGACAGCCAGGTGCTGCAACAGGCCACAAGGCAGGAGCCCCAGGGCCAGGAGCACCAGGGCGGTGAGACCCACTTGGCAGAGAATACCTTCTACCGGCTGTGCCCACAGCCCAGCAAGAGCGAGGAGCTACCCACCTATGAGGAGGCAAAAGCCCACTTACAGTACTATGGAGCCCAGCAGGCAGGGCCCCGGCCACATGTTAGTGACCGGGATCCCCGTGGCGCCCCTGGAGGCAACCGAAGGCAGGATGAGGCCCTGCGGGAGCTGAGGCATGGGCACGTGCGCTCCCTGAGTGAACGGCTCCTGCAGCTGTCCCTGGAGAGGAACGGTGCCCGGGCCCCCAGTCACATGAGCTCCTCCCACAGCTTCCCGCAGTTGGCCCGAAACCAGCAGGGCCCCCCAGTCCGGGGCACCCCTGCCGAGGGCCCGGAGCCCCGTGGACCTCCACCTCAGTACCCACACGTTGTGCTAGCTCATGAGACCACCACTGCTGTCACTGACCCTCGGTACCGCGCCCGCGGCAGCCCGCACCTCCAGCATGCTGAAGTCAGGTAACTGCCCACTTTGGTCTTCCAAGCTCTTGACTTCTTTCCAGTGTAGCTCTCCCAGGGCGGAGAGCCTCCAGACAGCCCCTTGTGTCTGGGCTGTCCAGCCCCAGAGGAAAGGAGGAGCTACTTACTGCCTCAAGGAGAGAGCGACTTAGCGAAGGTCACATGAGAACGTAGTGGCATACCTTGCTTTAATTCGGAGGTGGACATCATGTCTGATTAGCTGTTAGCAGTCAAGTAACTAGGGTTCCCAGAGGGTATGAATTACTGCAGGGGGTTAAAAGTTAGGTTTCAGAAGGAACTTGCTAAAGACAGGGTTGGGAATCATTGCCAAATTCTTTCCTAGTTTAGCAGGAAGAAGGTGGGATCGCCTTCACTGGAGATTTTTTTTTTTTTTTTTTTAGCTGAGCCATCCCGCCACCTGTTGGCAGCTCACGGCTGCTCAGCTCGGGCTGACTCGAACCGCTGTTGCTCAGAGCTCAAACTCTTGAGCGAGCTCTTAACCAACTGAGCCACTCAGCCGGCCCTTGGAGATTTTTAAGAATAAGTGGACAGCTTTCTGGGATTATTGGGAGGCATTCCTAACTGGAGGCAGGAAGGACCTGATGACCTACTGAGACACCTTTCTCCATATCTGTCTCTATTATTCATTTCCTTTCATGCTTTTCCCATGTGCTCCGTGTGGCTGGAGCCTGTAGAGGAAGAGGATTCTGGGTCCAGGAGAGCCCCTTGCTGTGGAGGCTGGGGAGAGGCTGCTGGGGGGGCTCAGAGTTTGACTCTGAGCACGAAGCGGAGGCTTTAGAGGATGTGATTTGGCTTAGCTTTTTAAAAAAGCCCTTCTGGCTCCCTATAGAAAATGGATCCCACGGGGCAAGAATGGAAGCAGGAGACTGGGAGAGGCAGGAAGCCCAAAGAGTTTGCAGAAATATGGGTTCCTAGAAATGAAGCTGACCCAGGCTCTTCATTCTATACACTCCGCATCTCCCCCCACAGGGGTCCAGGAAACCCCACAAGAGGGGCCTGAGGATTTGCAGACTCCCTTCCACTGATGTCTCAAGGTCAAAGTCTGGTTCTCTTCATGCCTGCTTAGTCTTCATTTAGTCACCCACTTTCCCACTGTTCGGCCTTTCCTTGCTCTCAAGAAATGAGTGACTCAAGGGTGTTGGTATGGAGGAACGACAGCCTTGTGTGTTCTCTCCAACCTCCAGCTCCCAGGCCCCCTACCTTATCTCCCTCCTCAGGGCTGGGTCGGGGAGAGTTCCGGAAGCTGAGTCGTGGTTTCTTCTTAGGACCAGCCTTATTGAACCCTGTCAGGAAAAGATAATATCATGGAAAGGAAGTAGACTGTTTGCAGGAGAACAAAAAAGAGAGGGGGGGGCGGTGCCAGGGAGAGCAAGTGTGAAGGGAAAGGAGACTATTCTTTCTCGGAGCTAAGTCATCCCCAAAGAATGCCAGTTGTGTCTGCCTGGCCCATTGCAGGGGGAGCAAGTGCATGCAGCAACCCCGAGAAGGCCACAATTAGCAGTGGAGGGAGAGTGTGGACATTCCAGTTGGACCCTGTGCTCAGCTCTCCCTGGAAGCTCTACCTTAGGAAGTAAGAGAAACACATCTGCCCAGCCTCTTCTTTGGGTTGACCAAATGAGGACTGTTGGTTGGGAACTGGTGACAGGGACTTTTCTTTCAGCCTAAGGTCCTAAGAAGAACAGGGGAGCAAGGCTGCAGGGGAGAGGGGTGAAGGGGAAGATAGGCATGAGTGCTGAGGTGGTGGACCTCGAAGTGGAATTCAATTTTCATGGGGTTTCGTGGGGTTCCTGGTAACACTGAGGCAGTCTGTTCTTTTACACTTGGAGCCACAAGAAAGGCCCCAGAAAGGATTTGTGACCCTCCGTGCCTCTTGCTGTTTGCTCCCTCCCTTGACATGGGACCCTGAAGCTGGTATTACACCACTGCTAGAGACCATTAGAACATTGTCCCTAAACTCAGGCTATTGCAATAGGTTAGAGGCCTCTACACCCAAGAAAATCCAGTGTTTGGGTCTCATGTTTTCTCTTTAAACAGAGAATAAGCTGTGGTACCACTAGAAAAAGTAGAGGATGAGCCACCATTATGGTAGCACCTGCTGTAGACCCAGCACTCTGCCTAGGCCTTGTGTGGCCCTGGTAAACCCCCTTGAGGCTAGAGATTCTTACCCTCATGATTTAGCAGAGCCATGCCGGCACCTTGGGGATTTGAATGCCTATTTTGTCCGACTCTGGAGCTCAGACTCTTACCCTGACGTCTGTCTTGTGCTCTAACCTTAGCCACAGTCTTCTAAAAATGTTTCTGCAAGGAGTGATAGAACCCGAAATAGGAGGGAGAAAACGTGAGTGTGTTGCACTGGCAGGTGCTAAAGCAATGCCTGAAACTAGAGGCTCATGAAAGACATAGGGGTAGCTGCTGGGACTCAGCTACCAAGTGGCCCCGGGGCATGGAAGGCTGTGTGCTCAGTCATGATTGATGTGGCCTCTAGACCCAAAAAAGAATCTGCTTTTGCTCAGAAGGATCAGGCGTGCATTTTTAAAGATGCCTTATTTAAGCACTGGCTGTTTAGGAGGTCCAGGACTGTTCAGGCTGATCCCCAAGACCTTGGCCCCAGTGAAGCTGGGCATGAAACAAGCTTCCTGATGCTAACCCCTCTCGCCCCACTCTCCTGGCCCTTGAGGGTCTTACACAGACACCATGTGGAAAGGGCCTTCCCCACTGTGGGGAGGCTGAGTTGACCTGTCTTTCCCAAGTGCCCGGGAGGGCTGGGCCAATTCAGGGCTGCTCTGGGGTGAGCCTGTACAGTCTTTGAGCACCGTTTCTTCTGTTCCCCAGGATCCTGCAGGCACAGGTGCCTCCTGTGTTCCTCCAGCAGCAGCAGCAGTACCAGTACCTGCCCCTGGAGCACCCCCCACACCCACACCCAGCTGCTCTTGGCCATGGCCCCCTAGGCTCCCTCAGCCCACCTGGGGTGGAGGGGCCAGCAAGCACCCAGGCCTCCTTGGCCACCTCGGGCAGTGCCCATCTGGCCCAGATGGAGACTGTGCTGAGGGAAAATGCCAGGCTGCAGAGGGACAACGAGAGGCTGCAGAGAGAGCTAGAGAGCTCAGCGGAGAAGGCTGGCCGCATGGAGAAGGTAAACACTGCTGGGGCCTCAGGGGAGTAGGGGGAAGAAGGGACCCCGAAGGGCTGACTGGGGAGTGGACAGTCGAAAGAGGCAGAGGAGTCTGAAAGCTTGTCTGGCTGGGCTTTTCACCCATCCCTCTGGCCCCCACCCCGTCATCTCTCTTGCACCCTCCCTGGCTGACTCCAGACAGCTGGGGAGCAGCCGTGAGGCCTGCAGAGCAGGTCTGGAGCATGAGCAGTTGCTGGCCAGTGGTGATTAGAAAGAGCCCATTCACCAGCTCCCTGCACACTCGCACCCTTCCCCAGCACACACCCCCTCCCGCGGACACCTCCCACAGAGAGCCCTTTGTGTCCCCCACACAACAGCAAGTCTGTTCTAGGCCAGCCCTGGCCAAAGAGAAAGCCCCTCCTTTTGGAAAAAAACGAGCGACTTATTAGAATCACAGGCCAGCTAGGAGCACGTGCGGAACCTGCCAGCAGCCAAGTAGGAAGGGCAGGCTTGCCCTCTGGGTGGATGGCGATGGCCAGAGCATCCAATACTCCAGGCGGAGGCGGCTCAGGCTAGAGTCTGGTACCTCATTCTTTAGTGAAGGTTTACCGCTGTGTGTTCAGCTTTAGCAGGTGGCCTCAAGACTCCCCTGGCTGTCCTGTGGTGTCCAAGATACGTCAGACCTCAGAACATGGCTGGGGGCTTTTTGTGCCCACTCAGGGCCCACTGGGTTCAGATTTCTCAGCAGAAGCCATACAAAATGAAAATGCTTCTTTCTGGACATGAGCACAAGAAAGCTATATTTAGTCACCCTGGAGGCAGCCACTTCCCAAGTACCTGGCCCTGGGTTCACTCAGCATCTGGACCTTGGGGACAGTAAACAGGACCCTTGCTTGCCGGTCTATCCTCAGAGGCTACAAGCTTCTGACCCTCCTACTGTTGCCACCTGGACTTTTTGCTCTGGGTTTTTATCCTCTCCTCGCTCACTTCTGATAAAGAGCAGATCAGCCCGAGCACATGGAGCGGGCTTTGATGCCACCCACCCCCTAGGAGCTCTCCCTTTCTGACAGCTCTTCTGTCTACCTCTTGCAGCTGGAAAGTGAAATCCAGCGGCTCTCTGAGGCCCACGAGAGCCTGACGAGAGCCTCCGCCAAGCGGGAGGCCCTGGAGAAGACCATGCGGAACAAGATGGATAGTGAAATGAGGAGGCTGCAGGACTTCAACCGGGATCTTAGAGGTGAGAGCAGGTCACCCAGGTAGAGGGGCGGGAGCGCCTGCGGAGGGCTCGATCCTTCTGTTTCAGGGAAACATTCAGAACCTCTCCTCTGCAAAAAGAACTATAAGCTGAGACCCCTTGGGGACCACTCTGATAGATGCTTGCCTCTGCATTCTGGACCGTGGAGCTTCTCATGGAGCTCTCATCTGCGTGGCCCCCGGGGCTACCTCCTCATTAGGTCCTGAGCTGACTGGGGAGCTCCCCTGTGAGCTCATCCCCAGCTTGGAGGATGCAGCCCCACAGATAGGCCTCCAGGGCACACCCCAGGCAAGCAGCATCTTCTGATATTCAAATATCTTTCCTTAAAACATCTTTCCTTTATTTCAAACAGAGAGGTTGGAATCTGCAAACCGCCGCCTGGCGAGCAAGACGCAGGAGGCCCAGGCAGGCAGTCAGGACATGGTGGCCAAGCTGCTTGCTCAGAGTAAGTAGGGGTCCCACTGAGAAGCCTGGGCAGATGTGTGGGTTGTGGGACCATGGCAGCCCCTCTTAACAGGGAGGATTGGCCCTGCCCCTTGTCAAAGCAGTGCTTTGAGCACAGGTCTACTGAATGCCTGCTATGCACCAAGCACTATACTAAACTGGTTTCTGAAGAAGAATAAAACCTGGTTCTCTATTTATTGGGGAGATCAGTGGATACAAGAGGGAGAGCTGGGGAGCAGTGGTTTGCTGAGCTGTGGTGCTGGCCACGAGGGCAGTGTCCTTTGGAGGCAGAGGTACCTTGGGCAGTGAAGAAGGCAGGATAGCTCTGGAGACAGATGAAAGAGAAGGAAGTGTCTGAGTTTCCCAGGGATTTACAGGCAACAAAAAGGTTGGGGGTGCCCAATGAGCAGGTGAGAAGCAGGGGAGCATGGTGGAGCTGGGCCACAACAAGGCGGCCAAGTGGAGCAACCTGCAGACAGCAAAAATGGGCTCCTGGAGCTTAACCAACAGGTGCAGTCTAAAGAAAGGGCTTGGGAGGCTTCTCTAAAGGAGGTGGTCAAAGCCTCTTTGAAGAGTGGATGAGTTAATCATTGGCTAGTCCATTCAGTCATTCATTTGTTCAGCAGAGCTGTGCTAAGTACCTTGCAGGTGTTGAGCAGAGGACGAGAGCAAGCCCAGGAAGTTATCATGGCAAAGAGGTGAAGAGAGAGGGGGCGAGCTTGAGGAAGAAACAGGGTCTAACCACAGATTCAAGGAAACAGGGTGCCCTGGCCCTGAAGACTAGTGACGAAGAGGTTCCCAGGGGTCAGAGAAGGAGGCTCTGTGTGGATGGCAGGGGTGGAGAGCAGGTCACAGGTGAAAAAACAGCTGGAAGGCTCAAGGGGAGGTGTGTGGAGGCTGGAGTGGGGGTGGGGG